GCAGCCAGGTCCAGGAGGGGGGCTCTGCAACCCCATCACGTGGGATGGGCCCATGGCCAAAACCAACAGGGAGAGCTATCTAAATATTTACAGCCCTTCCCGGGCCAGCGGCGGGGTCTGCACTGTGGAGGGAACTAGCTGACTCGGTGAAACCCAGGAACCGGCAGCTCCCCTCCCTCCCTCCCTCCGGAAAGGATGCCTTACCCTGCCCGTTCCCAGCCCGAGAGCCTCCATCCCTTGCTCTGCTCCAGCCTACGTTGGTGCACACGTGCCACGTCAAACCCCACAGCTAGGTCTGATGCCTGAAGGCTACGGGCCAGGCAGAGCTTTGGAACAGGCAGAAATCACCAGGGCTCAACCCTCCTTAGCTTCGTTTCAGCCACAGGGCAGGGGAGCAGAGCCAAAATTCATGCCCGTGCTTCTGAAATCACAGCATCTGTCCTACTAGAGCAAGGCACAGAGGAGGGGTACAGAGCTTTCAGGGTCACTCAGATACACTCAAAATTCTGCTTTCAGGATTAAGCAAGCCCCACGCAGGCACCCTCAGCCCCCATCGCTCCTCTCCAGCCACCAGCTCCCCTGGCCTCCTGCCGTGAAACCGCAGGCCCACGCTGCAGCAAGCCGAGTTACGGAGCAGGAGGAGTTCCCGGCGGGACAACCTTGCCAGAGCTGCAGCGAAAAGCAAAGCAAGGAAGCAAGGCCTGCCCTCCGCTCCCGGGGGGCTTTTCACGGGGTGGGCAGAGGCCCTGGGGCAGTTTTGGAGTGCAGGTGGATGTTGGTTAACGCAGAGGAGAGGAGCACTTCACATTAACGCCAAATGCTCCCTGTGCTCCTGTCCCTTGGAGGGCAGAAGCGGATCATATCCTTATCCTTCACAGAAAATGGAAACCTGCAGATGCAAGAGGCTGAACTCCGACAGACACCATGGGGATTTGGCTCCCAAACTCCCCGAGTTCCTCAAACTCCCTACAAGTAACTGGCCACATATCGACTACTTAAAAATTACCGATCAAGAAATCTACCATCAGGACCTCTGTCGCCCGGGATTCTCCTTGGTCGTATTTGAAAGTGAGTGCCCTAAACAGACATTAAAGACGAGAAAAAAAGGCCCCGGGGATCTTGCAGCCCGCCCTGCCGGGCGTCATCAGCTCGGTCCCCGCGGCATCCCTGCCCCGCTCTCCCCTCCCCGGCATCTCGGAAGAAGCAGCTCTGAGGGAGAACTCAGTGGAGTTCTCCAGTGGAAAACGGGACTGAAAACCTTCATAAGGGAACTGTCAAAAAATGACAGGTTGCTAAAAGAAATGCAGATGGCACCTGGCCAGCCGTAACAGAGCTGTCAATGCGAGCTGCCAGTCAGCTCGCGCGGCAGCAAGGGCTCTGCAGCCCCGGGGGAAACTCGCAGGCAGCCCTCAGCGGGTGAACGCCGGAGGGAGATGCAGGACACCCCTCCCCACGTCAGGCATCACCAGAAGAGCAGGGAGGCTGGAGGAGCCAGCTCAGATGCACGTCCAGAGCGGTCGGAGTCACAGGGACTAGAGCACGAGAACAGAGGGGACGAGAAGCCAGCGCAGATTATCTCTATCCAAAAGGGCAGCCAGAGATTTAATTTTTTTTTTCCTATTGAAGAAATGAAGTAGCAAGCAGAAACCCTGGGA